CCACCGCCACATCGGACAGCAGAGTGCCCCTGGGACGGGTGCGTGTCCCTGCACAGAGGTGGACCCCTTTCCCAGGAAGTCCAGGGGCTGTCCATCAGTGCCGTTAGGGGAACGTCCCTCTCATCCCGCACGCAGAGCCCTGGGTGGCCCTGAAGCATGTCCCGTGTGCACTGAGGGCACGGGGAGAGGTGGCAAGTGGTTCTCTGGACCGGGGCTCAAAACAGGGATGCAAAGTCAGATCTGCGGGCAGCTTTTCACAGCACCACGCCCAGGCCCCGCCCACGGGCCGCACGAGGCAGACCCGTGGGGAAAGGCCCCGCCCCGGCACAGTGTGCATGACCTTGGGCAAGTCAGTTAACCTCGAGGGGCCTCAGTTTTCTCGCCTGCGGAATGGGGCCATAGGAGCACCCCAGCACCCCCCTGCTGTGAGGGGAAAGAACCACATTTTCACACGCTTTCTCTCGGGGGCACGCGGAGAACGTGAGCGTGTGTGCCCAGTGCCCTGAGGACAGGAACACGACGACTGGTGTGGTGTCTCCTGCCCCTGAGGCCCCCGGCCACCCCAGAGCTGGACGGGCCCCCTTTCCGGCCCCCGCACCCCGATCACAGGCAGCAGGATGCGGAGGGCAGCCATGCTGAAGGCCGGACCCCACAGAGCACAGCCGGGGGCCGGCACAGGCCGAGCCCCCACCCGGAACTGAGGTCCGCCCTCTCTGCAGAGAGGCCTGGGAAGGGGCAGCGCCGTCTGTAACGAGCCCCCTGCGAGGTTCTGGAGCAGCTGGCCTGCAAGGCTGTGCTCAGACTTCGGGTTCTAGCTGGTCGGAGCAGCGGGCTCTCCCTTGCAGGGTCACCAGCTCCCCCCCTTCTCTCCCCTTCCTGCTGCCCACCCACCGCTAGGGTCCCCCCCCCCCACCTAATTAGCAGGCAAGTCCCGCTCTGGGAGGACTGAATGGGCCCCTTCTGCTCCGGGGCATCCCTCACAGTGTCCCTTTGTGGCCGCCAGCCTCCTGACCAGGCCAGACTGGGTCCTCAGCTGTTTACTCTCAGGGCAGTTCTGACTTCGCCTCCCAGCTCCCACCTTCAGGGCTGCGATGTGCGCCCAAGGGGTGGCGCGGGGCTGCCTTTCCCTCCGGAGAAGCGGCTGGCCGCAGGCGGGGCCGGGGCCGCAGACACCCCTGGGCTGGCTGTTTGCAGGGGGTGTGTCCACCCAAACAGACAGGCTTGGAGGTGAAAAGGGCAGCCAGCCAGCCCAGTGAGAGGGGGACAGTCTGGCAAATGGGCCCCCCAGCCCCCCTCCCCGCTGCTGCAGCTGAACACTGCACCCCCCCACGGCTCCCCAAGGGTGCAGAGCTCCCCACCTTGAGACAGAGCAACCTGCAGAAGGCTTCTCAGAGGCAGCCATTCCTCCAGACGCAGGCAGGGCCCCTCCCCACCTACAAGAGCCTGTGGCTACCCTCTCCCAAAGGCAAACCAGCCCCTCCTCTAGGGGAGGGTGACTCCCCCAGGTGGGCTGGGGCTGGGGGCACAGGTAGGGGGGCAGACCAGGAGCCAGAGGTGGGAACTGCCTCCCGCACCTCTGGAACAGGCTGCGGCCCTGCTTACCAAGCCAGCCTGGCCACTCTGGGGCTGGAGACTTCCTGCCACAGGTCGCAGTTGTGAAGCGTGCAGCACAGACTGGGCCATGTGGGCACCGGGCTCCCCGAGGTTCAAGCCCCAGCTCCTATGGAAGACTGACACCTGTCTGCCCCAGCCGGGACTGGGCCTGTCAACAGCCAGCTCTGCAGGGCTGCTGTGGGGACCCAGGACTGCGGGGAGCGGCCGTGGGAGGTCTGGTTCTACATTTTGGAATTTCCTACAAAGAGCACATGTAATCATGATCAACTCTTACAAAAAGTCCACTGCGCTCTGCGTGCGGTCGCAAGGCTCCGGCCGGACCCCGTGGACCCTGGCCCTCTTGCACCGCCCGCAGCCCGGCCGGCTCTGCCGCGTGGGGACCTGGAGACCGCCCGCTGGCTCCCGGCTCTCCGAGGGCGCATGCGCAGCTCTCGATCGCCAGGCGCAAAGCTTTGCGGACAGCGCCCCCTGCCGTCCAGAAGCGCCTGGGCTCTGCGCCCTCGCGTGGGTCTGGCCGAACCCAGACCTGGCGCCGGGTTTTGTGGAGTTGCCGGAGGGTGCTGGATCTTGGAGGGGAGGGACAACTCGCCACAACCCTGTCGTTCTCCCGGAGCCGAAGCCCCCCTCAGCAGAAATGGGGCCTCCCCTTTGAGAGGGACTGCCTTTGGGGGAAACTGAGTCATAAGGGATCTTAAAATCCCCGGCGGGGAGTGGGAAGCTGACAAAACCGATGGCTGTTTTCTGGCTGTCTCTACGTGGAACCTTCTGCCGGGTCCTGTGCCGGGGCCCCTCTGAGGGCTGACAGAGCTGCCGACGGCGGCCCCCACCCCCGACCCTGTGCACACTGGCTGGGCCGCAGGCTCACCGAGGCAGGCCAGGACCCCACCTCCGGAAACCAGCTCGGCCCCTCCAGGGCCACTCGCTAAGGGACCCGGGCTTAATGCAACCCGCTCATTTCATTGACGGACGGGCAGTGACTTGCCTGAGGCCCCTGAGCAGTGGGGAGAGCAAACCCGCCCCCATGCCACACGGGCAGCGGAGCCGGGAGGCCGTCACCAGCTCCCACCCAGCTCTGCCACCACAGGCTCTGTGCACGTGGCAGGTCCCTTCCCCTCTGAGTGGAGCGGGGAAGGACTGGCAACAGATCCCCAGGGCCAACCCAGGGCCCCTCCCTGGCCACCCCCACGGGTCCTGCAGCTCCCCGTGCTCTTCGTGTGTTTCTGTTGACACCACTCCCGGAGGTCATTACTTCCAGGTCAGTACGAAGTACATGGCTGGGCACTCCGGAGCCACAAGGGCTTTGCGGGAAAAAGGGTGCAGGCGGGTCTCACAGCATCCTTCCCTGTCTGTATGAGACAGGAGTCTTCATGAACCATTTGAGGGCCTGGCCCAACGTGCAGGAGGAAGAAGCATCTCGTTTGCAAGTCAATCAGGAAAAGGCTCGGGGGCCAATAAAACGCCTCTGAGTCATTCGCACATGCATGGCACAGTAAAGCAGTGGAAAATATTTTAAAGAGCTTCTCCTAAACAGACGAAGCTGCGTCGGCGTGTCCTGCAGATACTCGTGTGTGTGTGTGTGTGTGTGTGTGTGTGTATTTGAATGGCTATCCCCCAAGTTAGAACTGAACGGAAGTGCTTTCACACACCTGGAGCCTCTCAGCCATGCTCAAGGGACATGGACCAGTGCCCCTGCTCCCAAGCCCTGACCGGTGCGGTACTCTCCCTTTGTGGGAGCCGCACCACAAAGCACAAGGTTGCAGGTTCGATTCCCAGTCGGGGCACATGCCTGGGTTGCAGGCCCACGCGAGAAGCAACGGATCCATGCTTCTCTCTCACATCGATGCTTCTCTCCCTCTCCTTCCCTTCCCTTCTCTCTAAAAATAGTCTTTAAAAAACCACCCGAACTACCCCATTCATCAGCAAAAAAGTTAAACATCATAAGGATACTTTGGTAAAAAGGATACAGCATTCCCCCTTACCCACAGGAAATACATCCCAAGATCTCCAGCGGATGCCTGAGACTGAAGGTAGCACCAAACCCTATATATAGTTTTTCCTATACATACACGGGTTTATTTTGTAACAGACACAGTAAGGTATTAACGACAATACCTAGTAAAATAGAATAATTATAGTGGTATGCTGCAAGAGACGTGAATGTGATCACTCGTGTCAGGGCACAGGCTGAGGGCCTCTGGCACAGTGGGGACGCGTCCTCTGTCCACACCCGCCACCCGCAACTTCACTGCCCTTCCCATCTTCACTGGGCCCTTACCACGCACTGTGTGGCCCTCACTTGTGCGGTCTGGGGTGCAATGGCAAAACCAACCCAAATCTTTTGCCTCCCGCACCCCGTCAGATAGATTTGTCCTTCCTGGAGACAGGGACCTCGGCGCACTTTTTTCTTTCTCCCCTTACTAGGTCGAGAGATTTTGCCTTTTCACTCAACGGGAGCCCTTTACAGCTTCCCGGCGGCGTGTCCCACTTGCCGGCAACACCACTCGTGCACCTGGGGGCCATTCCGAAAAGTGGGGGTGACTTGAACACAAGCACTGCGACCCCACAGTGACTCGGGGAGGGGAGAGGGTTGGGGACACTGGGCGAAAAGACGATGCCCACCAGGACAGGACAAAGCGAGGCAGCCAGAGACCTGCCGTGTTCCTCAGAGGGGCACACGGCTGAAAACCTATGAACTGCTTGTTTCTGGACCCTCCGTGTAACATTCTTGGACCAGCGTGGGTGGGCCACGGGTGACAAGCCACGGGCACCCGAAACTGCAGAAAGCGCAACGGCAAAGCAGCGGAGACTGCCGCGGCACGGTCCCCAGGAAAAGGCGATCGCTCCGAAAGGGGAGGAGGGAGCATCGTCAGAGAGGTTTTACAATTTCGTGTTTGTAGAGATTACCGAGGACACGGAAGCGCTCTTAGAAAACTCGGTTACAGCAGGCAGAGCATTCTCAGTGAGCTTCAAAATGCCAACCAGTGACGCTGCGCCAGCCGTAACAGCACGACGATGAGAGCAGACATTTTAAATACAGGCTTTATTTTAAATTTAAAGAGCAACTGATTGTAAGTATTTTGCGCAAATTATATCAACACTTAAAACACAGTTTGGGAATGTTTAGCAATAATTCTTTTTTTAAAAAAGATTTTATTTATTTTACTTTTATCCCCCCCAGAGGGGATGGGAGGGAGAAAGAGAGGGAGAGAAACATCAATGTGCGGTTGCCTCTCACGTGCCCCCGACTGGGGACCTGGCCCGCAAACCAGGCACGTGCCCTGACTGGGAATCGAACCTGCGACCCTTTGGTTTTCGATCCACTGAGCCACACCAGCCAGGGCTGAAACAATAATTCTTCATTCAAAATAAGGACACTCATCCTGGTGTGAGCTAATACGAACTTTATTTCAATCTACTAGTTTACATAAGCTTAACCATTTCATCCTTCCTAAAATTCAATGACTATGATTCAGCTTCATAAGGTTACACCAGTAAAACCAGTCTCGTATATAACTTTTTAAACATGATACATTTACACCAGCTGGAAACTTATAAAAACGTAAATAGGTCGTACGGGGCTTGATTAGGAGGCTGCCCGTGCACAGACAGGCAGGAGCGTGCCCCCTCAGAAAGCTCACGGACACGCTGCGTCGTCGCACGCGGACGCTGCTCCCTGACACGGCACACTGCCGGCCGTGCCGGCACGCATGAGCTGAAAAACGCACACGTTACAAAAAACACATGTGTCCTTGAGGACACAGGGGAGTGGAATGTGCCTGCGCCGAGAGCAGGAATGCAGAGGCTCCCGGGCGGGCCGGGCCCGAGCACCCTGTGCCGGGCCGGCCCCGGGCCCCGCGGGAGGCAGCCGCCGCCCTCAGAAAGACAGGATGGTCTTGTTGATGATCTCCACGGACTCCTGGATCTCGTCCTCCTTGATCACCAGCGGCGGGGCCAGCCGGATGATGTCGCCGTGCGTCGGCTTGGCCAGGAGCCCGTTGTCCCGGAGCCGCAGGCACACCTTCCAGGCGTCGTAGTCTGGAGAGAAACAGACACGCCTGCTGATCAGGGACACACGCTTCATCCGACACCCCCCGCCGCAGGGGGGGCCCCCTGAGGCAGAGGGGGCCCGGCCAGCGGAATCCCACTCCCACTCAAGGAAGACGGCTCGGCCCACAGACTGCTTTGTTCCAGTCTTAAAGAAGAAGGTACTTGTCAGCAAGCACATCACTAGGTTTGAATGGTATGAGCAGACATACGGTTTTTGTTAGTTTTCCATAAAAGAAAAAAATTATGCGTTAAGGCTGCCGTACTGATCACACGAGGACCCAGTGCAAAGGGGACTGGGCATGACACAGACAGCGGACTGGCAGAAAACGAGCGGCACCCGAACCCAGCGCACGCCGCACGCCCCTCACACAGAGCTGCCCCGACCTGCGGGGCCGCACGCGCGTCTCGAGAGAGCACGGTCCCCAGCCCCAGCGGCACGCCGCCGTCACTCCGTGCCTGCGCCCCCGACCCACGGAATCAGAGTCCTCCGGCTGGAGCAACTTTTATGAAAGCCCCGCCACCCAGGTATTTCTGAATGCAGCCGAGGCTGAAATCACTGCTCTAAAAGGAAAGGTTATCCCGACAAAATCCCGCAGGGAACCCTTCAGGGTTACAGGGGAGGCACTAAACACCCAACGGTTAACCGAGTGGCAGCTCAGGGCATCCTCAGCACCACCTTCACCATTCGTATCCTCATCGGTGCCGTCCCTACAGCCCCGCTCACCGGCAAAGGTTTAAAGTGACACGGGGGGGGGGGGGGGGGCGGCGGCGAGGAAGCGTTTAAGGGGAGCGCTCCTTGCAGACGCACGGACAGGAGTGAGTGTGCGTCCCCAGGCGCCCCACACCTAACCCCGGGCGGAACGACGGCCGTCAGAGAGGAACTAGACGGGGGCGAATGAATCACTTCCACGCGCCACCCGCAGGAAGGGCCGGCATTCTGTAAGACCAGTCGGTAAACCGGATGGTCCCAGGCCTGAGTCAACACTCGGTCTTCCAGCAGGCGGCCGGCCAGCGGTTTTGGAGGAGCCCAGCGTCCAGACAACATGCCAGGCGTGTCTGGGGCCCCCCCACGCAGGGGACACCCTGGGAGGACGTGCACCTTTGGTGGCGCGGATGACGATGGCGTTCAGCAGGCCCTTGCCGCGCACAGCGGTGACGATGTCGGAGGGCAGCTTCATGAGCTCGTTCCTCAGGAGGGCGCCCATCCTCTCTGCGTTCTCGGCGAGGTTCTCCTCCTCCAGAACCTGCGTCGGGGGAGAGATCCCACACACACACACACGTTACAGCTGCCTTTTCCTTCCAGTGTGCTCCGGAGGGGAGTGGGGAACACACGCAACGGGAGAACCTGACTGAAGGCCTGAACTTTCGTTTCAACTCTGCAAAGCCTACGCCAGCCCAACTTCCAACCAAACACGCACGGGCTCAGACGGGGCCCTGCTCAGTCGCAGCCCGTCGTCCGTCTGCCTCAGTGGCAAGGGAAGACTTAGAACTCGTTAAAGACAACTAGTATATCCTATTCTTTTTTTAATTTTTTTAAAAAAGATTCTTTATTTTTAGAGAGACGGGAAGGGAGGGAGAGGGAGAGAAATATCGATGATGGCCGAGAGAAACATGGATTAGTTGCCTCTCGTGTGCCTGCAACTGAGGACCTGGCCCGCACCCCAGGCACGCCCCCTGACCGGGAATCAGACCAGGGATCCTTTGGTTCGCAGGACGACACACGACCCACTGACCCATGCCAGCCAGGGCAGATACATTCTTATTAGTTGCATAAATCAATGGACTGAATATAGTTTAACTTTTTAACTGTAATAGAGCTTCCTTCTTTTTTCCCCTTAAAAGGCCATCCTTACAAATCACGTAATTGTATGCCTTTGGTAGGCACGGAAGTACTACACTTGAAAGTGTTCAAAGACACGCTTAGAGAACACCACGTGTGCTAAGCTAGAGGCCTGGTGGCCAGACCTGGTCACAGAGCGAGCCCTGGGCGGGCCAGGCGCCCACTGGGTGGGCGGGCCACCCAGTGCCTACGGGACCAAAGCCTCGGGGACTGCAGACGCCGCACACCCATGGCAGGCCCTGTCCTCCACGCCAAGGTTACAGGACTTTTTGCGAAGGCCACGCCCCAAAGCCCTTCCTCTGCCCCTCGTGCATCTCTCAGCGCGCCCTGGGTTCGGAGTTCACGGCCCCTTCAGCACCACCCGAGGAACAGCGCCGCCCGGCCATGCCGGCCTCACCTCCAGGGCAGCGATGGCCACACGGCAGCCCAGAGGGTTGCCCCCGTACGTCGAGCCGTGCTCCCCGGGCTTGATGGTCAGCATGACGTCGTCGTCGCACAGGACCGCCGACACCTGAAAGGCAGAGGTCGGGGCTCTCGGACCGCTCCGCAGACGGGCCGGTCCGAGTCTCGGCGTGCCGGGGACACAAAGACGCACGAAGCTGCTGGCAAACTGGACACAGAGCTTCAACAGAGCAGCAAGGGCCTTGCGGCGGCCGCCTTCGCCCCCAGGGATGAGCTGGGGGGTGCCCCAGCGCATCCCCCCAGCACAGCCAGCCCACTTCGACGGCACGGCGCGGCCGCCCTCCAGAACTGAGACACAGCTGCTCCCGAGGGACCACAGCTGACTGTCCCGTGCCGTCCCTCTGAGCCCTGTAACCCAGCGCAAGCGGCTGGCTCGAGGGCACGCCCAAGAACACAGCTACGGCAAAACACGGAATCTTCCCCATCTCTGCGTGAACCCGTCCCGGCTTCAGGCACCGAGTGACGTCGTGCTTCTGAACAACGGGAAAGAGTGGGGGGGCTACAGAAGCACTCTGGGGGGGAACGCTCCCACCCAAAGCAAACGCGGCAGCAAACCCCAAGGCCCCACTCAGGTCTCCAGTCCAAAGTGGCTAAGGGGCCACCCGTGGGGCTCTGACGTGCCCCCGCACGTTTCCCGGGGACCTGCAGCGCTGAGCAGCACCGAGCTGCAGGAACGGCACTGCCGTCCCGCCCGGCGGACGCGGAGCACATCTGAGGGGCGCACTCCGCGAGCGCGGGGAACAGCAAGGGGGGTGGGCGCCGAACTCACAGGGTACAAGCCTCCGGAAAGCGCCTTGCCCAGCAGGACCAGGTCGGGTCTGACGTTCTCGTGGTCCACGGCCAGCCAGCGGCCGGTTCTGGCCAGCCCCGTCTGTATCTCATCAGCGATAAACAGGACCTGGAGGAGAGCAGCACAGCAGCAGTAGTCACCCCCTCCGCTCCCACGGGGAAACGGCGGTCTTTGTTTGACTCCTCCCATCCCCGCACGCATGAACGTGACATCTGCCATTCCCTCATACTCGAGGACGTGCTTTAATCGCCCGTGTCAACAGTGCCCGGTGACGACCCTGTCGGACACACACACCAGTGTCCCCGGGTCAGGCCACTCTCCCCCGAGGCCCTCTCTGCAGGTCCCACGTGGCGGAAAGGCACCCACGGCACGTGAGGGCTTTCTCGGGGCCTTCGAATAGAACTGCTCTCTGGAAATAAACTAACTCGCTTGCTTACTCCACACACATTACTGAACCTTTACTTGCTACTAACTATGTACCAGCTTGGGGGGAAGGGGAGGGGGACGTAAATGTCGCAGCAGAGGACAAGGGCCCGCGAGGAATGGAACAGGCTGCTGCAGAACCCCGAGAGGGCTGACGCTCTGGGAGCGCTGTCTCCCCCTAGTGGACAGGCTGGGTCACCGCTGCACGCGGCCCATCAGCCAGAACCCTAAGGGACAGACCCCGGTGGCCGGCGGGAGAGGAGGGGCCGCGGACCTGGTGCTGCGTGCAGAGCTCCCGCACGCCCATCAGGTAGCCCGGCTCCGGAACAATGACGCCCGCTTCGCCCTGAATCGGTTCCACCATGAACCCAGCGACGTTTGGATCCTGAAGCGCGCGCTACAAGAAAAAGGGAACGATACATTTCGGTCACTTCCTTTCTGGCCTGTTTGGGCTATCTGGAGTCACCCAGAGCACGTGCACAACTTCCTGTGGAGAACAAATGTAACATTTCTGACTGGCGTTCAGTTACCAGAGACCCCAAACACTTCATTCAGCTTCAAGGTGCTCCATCCTGCGTTTTCTAACACACGGGGAAGCACACTGGAGCCAAACATCAGAGAAAATGGCTATTTTTAGAAGCCGTTTTAAGTGAATCTTTTTGTTTTTACAAGTTCTCCACTCTTGATTTTCTAAAGCTAGCTGAAAGCTCAGTAATTTGTCCAGTAATTACACAGAGACTCGCCCAGTTAGTACTTATACAGGACGCAAATCTAAAGTGTGGGTGGGGCGTCGGGGTTAGAGCGTGGAACTCGGTCCCCCAGCTGCGCACTAACTGGCCGGCACAGAACCCGGCCGGAAATCTCGGCCTGCCTTCAGTGAGACAGGTTTCCATCGGTCACATCCATGTGTAATGCATGCATCCCACACATTTAATTCCCACTGAGTACGAGCCAAAGCTCGCAACGCCAGCGACGCACCTCAAGAGCTGGCAGGTCGTTGTACGGAATAATCTCGAAGCCTGGCATAAACGGCCCGAACCCATCGTAACTGGTTGGGTCTGTGGAACTGGAGATTGCAGACATGGTTCTACCCCAGAAGTTTCCGGCTAGAAAGGAGAAAGACACAGTGATTATGTCAAACGAACACGTAAATTTAAAAAGCACAGTCCCCCCAAAAATACCTTCGGAGAGTTTGAGTTTTGAAAAAGCAAGGTTTGGGTCCTGACTGGTGTGGCTCAGTGAACTGAGTGCCGGCCTGCAAACCAAAGGGTTGCTGGTTCGATTCCCAGTCAGGGCACATGCCTGGGCTACGGGCCAGCTCCCCCACAGGGGGCTGGTGAGAGGCAACCACACATTGATGTTTCTCTCCCTCTCCTCCTTTCTCTAAAAATAAATACATAAAATCTTTCAAAAAGAAAAGAAAAGCCAAGAGTTTGCTTTAAAGAGCTTCCAGGGAGCTTCCCTTGGTTATAATGAGTCTGATGTCAAACACCATGGCCCCCAAGGCCACCAAGGTCTGGCCTCACAACCGCTCCTTTAGACACTGAGCTCCTGACCTCCCAACTGGGACGCAGAGCCCGAGGATGGACAGCTGCCCCTCCTCTCGCTGACCCACACCCTAACCACTGAGACACAACGCCTGCTTTTCTGGAGACAGTGCACCTGCGGCAGTGGAGTGAAAGAGAGCATCCTTCATAGAGAATTAGCAACTTTCCTTTTAAAAACCCTTTTAAAAACTACTTAGCTGTGGGCTCACTAGTCTACCGAGTGAATTTTACATTCCATTTGGAGAAAATGCCCTCAGGCAATCCAAACACCTTCAATTTCGCCCTCCGTGGTATTGTGATCTCCTGTGCGCCAATGACAGACACCTGCCTTTGTACAAAAGCACTTCCCACCCACTGACTCCCTGCACTAGTGACTCTGACTGGACTGAGGGCCTGCTCCGTGAGGGCGCCGCGCTGCGCGCTGGAGATGGGAAGACAGACAGGTGAGCGGGACTGACACGCTCCCCGGGAGAAACACCGTCACGTACAACAAACGCACGCGGTCATTTCAACCGGGTTAAATCCAAAGAAGGGAGGACAACAGTGTAGAATGAGAGAGACTCGCGGGTTTTCCTACTTTTGTTTTTTTTTTTTTAACATCTTCCCACCACCGACTCATTAAACCCACTACTGACTCACTGTATTTTGGCTTCATAGCCTCTCTAAACATCGCTCTTCCAACGTGTCTCACCTACGAGGAACCCCCACCTCGCCGGGCCACAGGCAGCAGCACGCCGACTCTGACCAGCGTGTTCAGAGAAACCGTACACACTGGGCGTGAGCCTGCTTGCTCTCTCCGCCCAGCCTCCGCCCAGCCTCCGCCCAGCCTTGGGGGCCTCACCCTTCGGCCTCACCCTGCAGTGTCAAGGACTGGCCACTAGGGGCAGCCTTCTGTCTCTGGGTGAAAACAGCTTTGCTAATAATCTAAGAGACGGGATACGATTGGTAAGAATAAAAACCGCCAGAAAGTCCATTTTTGTTTGGAAGACACAGTTATGTTGTCCCAGAACTAAGGCGCAAGGTCTCAAAACGGCAGGGCACAGAGCTGGGCAAAGATCTCTCCTGCTTCCGTAGCAGTCTGTCCCCGCAGCACCGACTGCCGCTGGCCGCCGGCTGAACCCCGGATTTCTACTACATTGTGGGGTTTGTCGTTCCACTGCCGCACGTGCTCACAAGGCAAAGCATCTCACGACTGACTCTTACAAGAGTGACTTTTGACCATGTGCAGTGATAAGTTTATCCACGGTCTGCTTTTAGAAATTAAAATCAAAGCTTTAAACAATGTCACAGTCTATCAACAAACAGCGGCATTAAGGTGCCCAAAGTCAGCTGGCGTCATCGCGAGGAGCTGCAGCGTCTCCCAAACCAGTGTCCGGCTCACTCCTCTCAGCGCTTCCCGGGGGGCGCGCCCAGGGCGACTCCAGCCCCCTCCCCCTCCACTTCTGGGGACCCATTCCCACAGCATACCACACACGAAGACTCACGCTTCGCATCACACCTGGGAGACGGCCCCACTGGAACGAGACCAAGCTCAGCCCCCTAACCAAAACGCTCTACCATCAGACCGTCTAAGTAACGGAAATCTGCTGCGAAGCCAGCAGATGAGCAAATGAGAAATAAATCAGTCACTCATTTTAGAGGGAGGAGCAAGAAGTTATTTAAAAGAGAAAAATCTCATACGTGAACATTTGGAAATAAACCCAAGAAAAGAATGTTTTGTGAAACACTCAGCAAATAAACATCGTCATGTATGAAGCACACGCACGGGACGCATCTCATCGGCACGTTGTTAAAGCGGTGAACGAGGACGCCGCGTGTTGAGACCGCAGAAGGCCGACCCGCACACACCTGCGAAAACGATCTTCGCCTTGTACTTCGGGATGCCCTTGACGCTGTACCCCCACCGCCGAGCCAGCTTGCACGCCGTCTCCCCGGCCTCCACGCCTGTCGGGAGAGGAAACGGTTCGGTGGTTGGCGGTGCTCCAGATCACCGGAGAACAATAAAGCTGCTCCCCCTGGGCTGATAAGAGGAAGCGGAACGCTTTACCCGTGTTCATCGGGAGAACTTTGTGGTAGTTGAACAGCTTCGTCACGTGCTCCTCGTACTCCCCGAGGACGGTGTTGTAGAAAGCCCTGGACGTCAGGGTCAGCTTGTCGGCCTGGTCCTTCAGCGCGTCCACGATCTTCGGGTGGCAGTGCCCCTGGTTGACAGCGCTGTAAGCGCTCAGGAAGTCGAAATACTTCCTGCCTTCCACGTCCCACACATAAATACCTAAAACACGTAAGGGAAAATAGCTGCGGAAAACCACAAAATCCAGGATAGATCGGAAAATAATTTCAGGAAATCACAAAATCACATAAAGTCCACAAAGACTGCTAGCACTGTGGGTAAGGCCTGTTTTAGTTCAAGCATAATAAACTCTGGTGTATAAGGAATTATTGTATCTGTCCAGCCTCAAATTAACATTTAACAAGAACAGTGTGACATAAAAAAGTTAGAACTTAAAGGGAGGAGTTATACATAACATAAACATCGTGACAGGTTAACTGGAACAACCAACAAGATAGGAAGAAATCTCTCTAAGTCACGTATCTCACAAGGATCTAGTACCCAGCACTTCCGCAACTCAACGAAAAGACACACAACGCAACTGAAAACGGGCAAAGAACGTGAGTGGGCATCTCTCCGAAGAGTAAACGCCACACAAGGAGAACACACGAATGACCCACAAGCCCATGAGAAGCCGCTCAACACCACGCACGAGTCCTTGGAGAAACGAAAGGCAAAACCACAACAGCACTGCACACCCCGTACCACGATCACAAATGTTTTAAAAGAAAGAAAAACAAACGTTGGCGAGGATGCAGAGAAATCGGAACTCTCTTATTGCAAGTGGGAGTATAGAGTGGTACAGCAGCTACAGAAATAGTTTGGCAGAAGGAAATTCTTTGTACTACTATTGCAACTTCTTTAACTCTAAAATTACACCAAGACAGAAGTTAAAGGGGAAAACGAAGGCGGTATCCCAGTGCTTCACTGAAGCATGTTCCGTTCTGCACGACACACAGACTGAGGTCGCCGTCGCCCTCCCCATGGCACTGGACACAGCCAGCACTCGAGACACTCACAGTGAGTGCTGGGTTACTGCATCACGATACAGAAACCAAAGGCCTCTGGAGAAATGTAAACTGAGCAAACAACCGGTTTGGCCAAAGAAGTTCATTTGGTTTCCTTCTAGAAAATGGCTGTAGTTGCACTTAGCTGTCTGGAACTTCATTCGAAACAATTTTGGTACAATGCATGTGACAGCTGTCATATGAGCGTGCATTTAAAAAAAAAAACTTGTCAAAATTGGTGAATTTTTGTGCAGCCATTTTAATGTTGAAGATGGAACAAAACACAACATTTTTGGCATATTATGCTTTCATTTTTCAAGAAAGATAAAAATACAACTGAAAGGCTCAAAAAAGACCTGTGCGGTGTGCGGAGAAGGCGCTGTCACAGATCGAACGTGTCAAAGTGGTTTGCGAAGCTTCGTGCTGGAGAGTCCTCGCTGGACGGCGCTCCCCGGCCGGGCAGACCAGTGGAGGATGACCGCGATCCAGTCAAGACATTAGCTGGGAACAGTCCATGTTCTACCACATGGGACACAGCCGACATACGGAACACAGCCAAATCAATAAAGTGACTGGTCAAAATGAAAAATGTGTCTTTTATTTGAAGGAAAAACCATCCAGCCTTCCTTGGCCAACCCAACACAAAAGCGATGTTTATCGAAGGGTTTGCAGCAGGGCAGGAGGGCTTCTGGATAACTCGCAACGTACCTTTCCCTCTCTCCAGGGCCACGGGTAAGGGGTGGTAGTTGTGCGCGCCGTACTTGGCTTCCCGCTCGAACACGTAATCGGAGGACGGCGGGGGGCCCTGGGCCGTTTTCTTAGTCGCAACCGAGGCAACGGAAGCGGCCGACGAGTGGACCCCCCGGCAGAGCCCAGCGACGGTCTGGAAGCGGGCCAGTTTGGAGAGCATGGCGTCCTTCGAGCGGGGACGTCACGGATCTGTCTGGAGGAGAGGGACGGCGTCGAGACGGAGTCGGTGGGTGCGGACTCGCTGAACTGCTGCTGAGCGCTCGCCACGGTCTGCCGAGAAATCAAGAACGTGAGAACTACAGCCTGTGGGAAGCAAGGGGCACGAGTACACAAATATTTACGGCGAGGCCTGGCAGTGCTACCACGGCGCAGCCTCCGGGCTACAGTCCAAGAGAACGAGGAACACGATCGGCTGGGGGGTGGGGTGGCCAGGGGCTCTCACTTCTCAGGTGCACCCCACCTCTGTACCACCTGGTGATTTCGTAATAAATACACACACACTTTTTTTTTTAAGTTGTCAGTGCTGAGAGCACATCAAGGACAGGGCCCTCGCCCCGGGGGGTCAGGCAAGGCTGAACCGCAGCCGGGTCAAAGGTTGGTGTCTGACCGTGCGGACAGACGGAGCAGCCCTTCAAAGGCACTTACCCGTGGGGCACAATCGCCCAGCACGCAGCGAGCTGCCCAGTCAGCAAAGCTCAACGCCCGGGGCTTGGCTGGCCCCGCTCCGACTTGGCGCGCGCAGTAAACCCAGCGTGCTGGGGAAGGAGCAAGCACCCAGCGCCATCCAGCACTCGGTCGACACACTCACCAGATACCCTTCCTTCCCACGGTTCGGAAGGGGAGACGGACGGTCAGCCCAAGGCCAGGGACGGTCTTCGGGGTCCAGTAAGTCCTGAAATGAAATGCAGAGATAGCTGTATGCATGATGGAGGAGAAGGGCCCTAAGGTTGTATCTCACAGAAGGACGTGTCAACAACAAACAAAAAGTTCTATCAGAAATGTCACACTGAACACGGCTGCTAGCAAAAAGGTCCAGGTGCCAGAGACAGAACCTCCCCAAAGACTACTGCTAAGTCTGAAACATGGGTTTTTAACTTTATTTCTCGGGCTCTTTCTGCTCTACTCAGTAAGAATTAATGCTTCATTTGACCACCTAAAAATTTAAGCCCATTTTTTGCCTTCACCGAATTCATAATAAAAGACAGCACTTCTCAAGGGCACGCTGAGCTGCCTTCTGAAGAGAATTACAGGCGTCGGAAAAGCCTTGGAAGTGTTTGCATTCTCAGACCAGTAATTTCACCCACGAGGTTCCAGGGTACGAAATACTCAGGAGACCCTGGCCGGGAAGCTCAGCTGTCGTCCCGGACACACCAAGGTTGTGGTTCGCTCCCGGGCCAGGGCACACACGAGAACCAACCGACGAATGCATCAGTGCGTAGAACAACTCTCTCTCTCCCCCTCCTTCTCCCTCCCTCTCTTTGAAATCAATAAATTAAATATTTTTTTAAAATAGCCAACATCAATGATTTTATCTCCCACAAAGGCCTGGCAGAGTAAGAGACGAGAGTGGAGAGCCCAGAGTGCGGAGACCAGGAGTTGGATTCTGGCCGGGGGAGGGTGGTGCCTGTCTCTGCACAGTCCTCCCGAGCGCCGACCTCTCCGTTGGTTAAATGACGTGGGAGCCACTCGGGTGGTCACCGAGGACTCGGCCAGATGATGCTAAAGTGCCGAACCTCGCAGAACTAGCCAGTTTCTGCAACACAGGTATCAACAGTGACGTGGCTTCTTTTTCAAACCAGGCAATTTTTCTTTAAAAAAAACCCTGGCTGCTGTGGCTCAGTGGACTGAGCACCAGCCTGCCAATCAAGGGGTCACCGGTTCGATTCCCAGTCAGGGCACATGCCTGGGTTGCAGGCCAGGTCCCCAGTAGGGGACACGCAAGAGGCAACTACACACTGATGTTTCTCTCTCTTCCCCTCTCTAAAAATAAAAAATAAAATTTTGTTTTAAAAATCAGTAAAACTTTTCTATTGATTAAAACCCTCCTGAAGACTCTCAGGTAACCTTGCCCAAACTTTTGTCACAGGTCTAAACATTTCAGGACACTTGTCTTAATGCCCGTCCCCCTATCAGAATCCTACAAGGCTCTTTTTTTTTTTTTTAATTTACTTCTAGAGAGAGGGGAAGGGAGGGAGAAAGAGAGAAACTTCAATGTGCGATACATCGATTGGCCACCTCTCACACACCCACAACTGGGAACCTGGCCCACAACCCAGGCATGTGCCTGGACAAGGAATGTAACCTATGACCTTTTGGTTCACAGGCCAGAGCTCAATCCACTGAGCCACACCAGCCAGGGTGCTACTAAGCTCCTTAAAAGGACAATAACTATGTCCTGAAATCCCCTTTGCATCCAGAACCTAGCCCTGGTTTGGGATCCTGTCGGCTTTCCTTGTCTGTCCATGGGTGAGGCCCACTTAGACACAGGCCTCCTGAAGGAGTCAAGTCAGCAACAGCGGTAAAGAAGGCCCTTGGGAGAGACGAACTGCCCTGTGTGGGTGGCTCAGGTGGTTGGAGCGTCGTCCCATAGATCAGAGGGTCACAGGTTCGATTCCCGGTCAGGGCACATGCCTGGGTTGCTGGTACCAGCCCAGGCCGGGGCACTTACAAAAGCAGCCAATTGATGTTTCTCTCTCATCTGATGTTTTCTTTCTCTCTCTCTCTCTCTCTCTCTCTCTCTCTCTCTCTCTCTCTCTCTCTCTCTCCCTCCCTTCCCCTCTCTCTAAAGTTGGTAAACATGTCCTCCGGTGAAGATTAAAAAACAGAGGGACAGAGACACAGAGGGAAAAACCACCCATCCCTAACCAAGGTGGACCTAGCTCTAAAAGGACATTAGACATGGTGTAACTAGTCTTTCCACCCCAAGTTCACTTCACTAGATTCAATGACCTTCACGAGTCAAGATTAAGTACACCAGTGTGAACATTCCAGGCCGTTATCATGCATTTCACCAAAGCCCACACTCGGGTCCTAAGGAAAGGAAATTTCTATTGACAGCAAAACTTTTAATATCAGATGTTTTCAGTAATCCACATAATGATTAACAAAGTCCTTCTTCAAGCTGCTCTTCACTCCTTCCTAGCTAACCAGCCCTACTTACATTAGAACATACCTAAAATAGAATTTCCATAAAAGGCTGCATTTTGAAGAGTTCCTTTAGCAAACACTATGAAACACTATTTTTTAAATTCATTCAAAGAAAAACCAGAGTAAACTCATCAAAAGAACACTAAACATATTCCACTTGAGTAAACTTGGTTTTACTACATTTGTCAAATATTTACTCTTCTTGAGGTAACCATTTACAACAAATACAACCTTTTTAAAAGTTCTGCCAACCAAAGTGTTTTTTTGTTATCTTTTTTTTTTTATGTAATCTGGCTAAAATTCAACTGAAGTGCGTCACGGGCAAACACCTCAGGCGCTACGATGGGACAAGAACAGTGTCCACTTCACAGCACCCTCCGCCTGTCACCACATACCAGCCCCCTCGCCAGGGTTTTAAAATGTACGCGATTCAGCCCGTCCTCAGAAACTCCGGCAAAGCCGTAAAATACGCACACAAGTAACTGTGGTAAAGGCGGAGTAGGAGGGGAAATACAACTAAACCTCTTTGAGGGGGAAAAAATGCCTTTTAAGAATTTTTACTATGTAGCCCTGGCTGGTGTGGCTCAGTGGATTGAGCTCGGGCTACAAACCAAAGTGTCGCAGGTTCGATTCCCAGCCAGGGTACATGCCTGGGTTGCAGGCCGTGACCCCCAGCAACCGCACATTGATGTTTCTCTCTCTCACCCTCCCTTCTCTCTCTAAAAATAAATAAAGAAAATCTTTTTTAAAAAGAAGTGGCCGGTTGGATTCCCAATCAGGACACACACCTGGGTTGCAGGCCAGGTCCCCAGTAGGGAGCGTTTGAGAGGCAACCACACATTGATGTTTCTCTCCCTGTCTCTCTCCCTCCCTTCTCCTCTCTCTAAAAATAAAATAAATAATAAAATCTTTTTTAAAGAATTTTGAATATGTAAAGATTAATGGGTTTGGAGGAGAAAGGATGCAAAATTAATTTCAAACACCATGAGAAATTACAAACCCAAAACAATACACTTTTTTATTTGTCTTATTTTTATCAAAGCAATTCTTCTTTTCCTGGCTGGTGTGGCTCAGTGGATTGACCGTGGGATGTGAAGCAAAGGGTCGCTGGTTCGATTCCCAGTCAGGGCATATGCCTGGGTTGTGGGCCAGGTCCCCAGTAGGGGGTCGAGCAAGAGGCAACCACACATTGGTGCTTCTCTCCCTTTCTTTCTCCCTCCCTCCCCCCCGTAAAATAAATAAAATCTTAAAAAAAAAATTCTTCTTGCATGCTTGGATCTCTTTCAGAGTCAGAACTAGATTCTCTGAAGAAACCAGAATCCTCTAATGAAAGAAGTCTTTCATTCCTTTCCTGTTTATTTCGAATGAACTAAGGAATTTGGATCACACACCTAAGAACAGTGCCAGGCTCCCACTGGGTGAACTAGTTTGCCTACAGAAACGCTCACAAACCCCGAGAAACTGGAGATGAGTCATTTCTTCAAATAAAGCCACTGCATTGCCAGGTCACGCCTCCTTAACCCCCCTAACCTCCCACAACTTATCAAACAGGTAAGGCTGAACCCTACACGAAGGTAAGGGAGCCCTGGCTGGTACTGCTCAGTGGACTGCGCTCCGGCCTGTGGACTGGAAGGTGTCTGGTTCGATTCCCAGTCGGGCATGCATGGGCCTGGGTTTCAGGCCAGGTCCCCGGTTGGGGGCACACGAGGGGCAACCACACGGGGATGTTTCCCTCCGTTTCTCCCTCCCTGCTCCTCCAAAAATAAATAAAACCTTTACAAAAAAATAAGATGAGAGATACAGCGAGTGACAACGGGAGGAGACGGCGTCCCACCGAAGTCAGCCGCAGAGTGCTGCCGCTCCGCGCGGTGGAAGAGGAACCCTAGCAACGCCGCGGTCAGGCTGGAACCCTTGCTGGCCCCAGCCCCTCGACACCATCTAATTAACCTGCACGCTTCTCGCTCTAAGGTAGGCTCTACTTCCTTAACCTTTTATTCGGACAAAGGCTGGAGGAGGGGAGAAAAAAAAAAAGAGGAAGTTTGGGGGAGGGGAGTGTTAAGCAGTTTGGCTACAGAGGCCGGAGGCTGCACGAGAGGTCTCCGTCGGCGCCCCCGCCCCGCAACAGAAGCCACCGCCTACTGGGCAGTTACGTGGTCTGCAGGATGCACCCTCCAGGCCGACCTCGGGAACGCAGGCCCGCGGCGCCCCGAGCCGCCGCCCCACGCCCCGGGGCCCAAACGCCTCCTTCCCCGAAACCCGGTGGCGTTCGAGTGGCGCGGAGCCAAGACGCAGACACCTTGGGGAGCGTGGGACCAGCGGGCGGGGGACGCGTCCGCTCTGGAAAGAGAAAGTGCCACATCCACAGACTCGGCCTCCAGCTTCCCGCCCTCGCCCGCGGCTCCGCGGCCCAGGGATGCAGCCCCCGCCGCGGAGGCGGAGCCTGCCCGCCCGCCCGCCCGCCCGCCGAGGCCCAGCGCGCCCCCTCCGGCGGCTCCCTCGGAACCCGGCCCAGAGCCGCCCGCGCCCCGCCGCCTCGTGGGGTACCCAGGCCCCCTTCCGAGCCCCGGCCCCGCCACACCCACGCGGATACCTGGCAGCACCTCTGAGAACCGCCCGGGACGCGCGCGGCTTGGACTGAACTGGAGCGGAGAGGGTGACGCGTCACGGAGCTTAAAGCGAGGCTCCCGCCCCGCCCCCAAGACGCCCTCGCCGCCCATTGGCTGATGTTGAGGGCTGGGGCCCCTCGCCCCGCCCACCCCGCCAGCGCGGCCAAGCGCAGACGCGCGCGCTCTAGATGCTGCCAGGAACCGCGGGTTCGAGCCGCGCGCGCGCACCCTGGGCCTGGCTGCTGTGGGCCGCTCCTGGGTCCTTGCGCCTGGGTGCCCACCTGGCCGTTGCCTTTCCCTCGGTCTCTCACTGCCAGCCCTTTGCTGTTGGGAAAACGAGACCCGAGGGAATGAAACAGTGGTTGGACTTCCTCGGGCTCGTGGCGTTTCATGAGCCCCCGCGTTGGGCCGGACCGCGGGCTCGAACCCCAGCCCTGTCCCCCGCGGCCGTGCCAGTCCCTTGCCTCGCAGAGCCTCACTTGGGGCGCCAACGTCAGCCCCACACCAGACTGGGCTGCTGCCCCCTTGCCCTTGAGCCCTGGTGCTCTGTCGCGCTGTTGCGCTTCTGAACTCACCCCCAGGAGTCCTCGCGGCAGCTGGAAAACACTGCCACCTCCTCGTCGATGCTGCGGGTAGACGACTAAATGACTACAACACACTCACTGTGTGTGTGGCGCCCTCCACCCCCTTGTAACACTCGGGACTCAGAATGGAATAGTCGAGGACAATCTCGTGTTGAAATCGGAAGGGACTTGGACATCATTTGGTTTACACTGTTTTGTTATATGTTGGGTAACAGACAGGGAGAGGACAAGTGACTTGTCCAGGGTCATCCCAAAGGTGAGGGACAGCCCAGCCCTTTGTGCCACCACCCTTCTCAGAGGGCCTTCGCGGACAGCCACAGGGACAGAGGACTGAACTTAGGACCATGTTCCTTTAGACCCACGTGATTAGTCAGCGTCCCAGCCGGAACACACAGGACGCTCCAAAATGTACACTTGCGGTCTGCTTGTTAAAGAAGTCATTTAAGCGTGGACAGGTAAACCACAGGGGTGGAGAAGTCCATCGCCTGGGGCCAGTGCACCAGGGGGCCATTGTCAACCCTAGGCCTAAAGGGAAAGATTTCCAAAACCCACACCTGCCTGGGCCACAGGTATAAGTGTCCCCTCGGGAATGGAGCTGGGCTGACAAAGATTCCGGCCTCTCTTCTGCCAGGGTTACCCATGGGCTGAGCCCATTAGGAAGCCAGAGACCTAGGGTGGCAGCCCTTTAAGGCCTGCAGGTCAGCCTCCTGGGACACGGACAGGGTACGGAAGGGCGGAGAGTAGATGGGCTAGGAGGGCAAATGGAAGACATTCGACATACGTAACCAGGTGAGCAGGAAGTAAGGTCACAGCTATATAGTAGGGGTTGGGAAACAGCATAGGCACAGAGGCAGAGCCATCAACTGCAGAGCCATCAATTGCAGAGCCCAGGTTTGCAGATGCCTAGAACAAGCCCCAGAAGGGATTCAGACCTCCTGGACTCATCTGCCCTCGACCAAGGTCAATGACTCCAATAGTTATGGCCAGGCAGCAGTCTCAGGGGCTCAGGGAGAGTAGGCCTATGCCTTTTTTTTTTTTCTTTTTTCCTATCAGTCCACTACCCTGCATACAGTGTGATTAACTTCTTGGAAGTTAGCTGGTTCTGCCCAAGGAATCGGACAGTAATCATTTCTCCACGATCCTACTCTACAAACCTGGGCACAGGTGTGAAACCAAGCCCGTCTCTCGGTACGACCGCAAAGCACAGTGACCCCAAGTTATGCCTTCCCAAGTAGGAGCAGGCACTTCTGAGTTCACAGAGGTGGCATGACACCCAAGATGTGAGTGGCACCATACACGGGAAATGCTCTGGGTCTCCCAGATAAGATACTCCTTCACAAAACTGCTTTCCCATGCAAGAAAGTGCCGAGAATGTCTGGGTTTTATCTCTTCTCCCTTAGCAGAAAAATGCAATAGGTACAGAGAGCATGATAATATTGTATAGTTTCTCTACGAGCAGTTGTTTTCTCCGCTTAACGTGACCTTGGAGATGTAGACAAGAAAAAAGCTTGTTTTCAACCACGAAGTAGAGCTGTTTCATTGGCATGTATTTTATGTGTACAGTCCGGAAATACGCAAGGAAAAACATATATTCCCAAGATTGTTGAGCCTCTAAAGCTACTCATAGACTCCAGTAACTAACTGAACCATAACTACGGGAACCATGAAACTGAAAGGTAGAAAGACTGATCCCGTAGCAGACAGCCAGCACCTACATTAGTTTCATCCGTTCACTCAGCACATGTCCCTGGAGTCTGTGAGCCTGATGCCGCAAAGGGTGTCACAGCAGGTACGAGCAGGTGGGACTCTTCAGTGAGGAGGGAGAAGTCGAGGAGGAAATGCTCCTTCCACAGGTGTGAACTGAAACCTTGCATGCACCTTGACCGTCTGAAAAAGCTGCCACTATATTAAAAAGGAAAGAATTCTTGATTTTCTTATACAAGCAACTCTCAGTTATTCTGGGACCAGAAAAAAAGATTTATGGATTATGCAGGCCTCTGGCTCTTGATTTCTTCTTCACGGTGTTGGGTGATTTTTACCCAGCACGAGAAAATACTTCCCTCCAGGTTATAGTCTCCCTAGAAAGACGTCTTCCAACAAAAGACTCAGCCCTGTACAGAACTCCTGCCTCCTGCCGCTGCCGCACTGGGGTGGGGCGGGCATTTATGTCTGGAGGAGAGCGCACCTCCTTAAGTCCAGAATGGCAGCAGCAAGTTAAGCAAAGGGGTGAGGAGGATTGCAGAGGGATGGCAGTTACGTTCTGAACTTAGGTGTGAATGGGGGATCCTAGGCAGAGACTCAGAAAGTCTGCAGGCAAATACTGGTTCTGGTAGGAGGAGGTGCTGCCGTGAGCCTTTATCTTCTCTCCCCTGGGAGCTGAACCTAAGAAGGGGCAGCTCCTGGCCTTCCTTCCCCACGTGACACGCTCCCCGGTGCCATGGGCCACCTCGCTCTTCCCGGCCACTTGTCACGGCACTGCCCACGGTCGCCTCCAGCTTTGTCTGTATCTTATTCTTCCCAGCCAGGCTCTCGGTTCTTGAAGGCCGGGCCCCTCTTGCAGGATTCCTACAGCCTCCCAGAACCCAGCAACATGTTGCTTTTAATAGGAATTATTCTTCCACGTTTGTCAGTATTTATCTTCGTGCCCATGGGCAGGAATTAGGGGCAGAGCAAGGGGCCCAGTATGAGAGGATGATCCTGGGTTTCCCAAACCCCAGGTGGCCCCAAACCCTCCCCACTCCTAGAATAGTAACAGCCATTCAAGTTAGAACACCCTAGAAGCTTGGGTTGGAGAAAGGAGGATGCTTCATTGTTGTCCTTGCTGCTTGTCTAAGTGCCAAAGGAACGCCACCTGTGCCGGATGAGCGTACAAAGTTGCATGCTGGAGAGAAGGGGCGGACCAATTCTCAGGGAGGGGCAGGAGATCCGGAACGGAGCGGGGTCTGGGGTGGGGAGCCTCTGAGAGGGCCGGTGACCACGGAGGGAAGACACCGTACCTGGAAGGCTGAGCGGAGAGAGAACAGAAAATACCAGAAGCGGGACGGAGGCAATCCGGGCCTATCCAGCTCCCACAGCTGGAGGTGAAGTTTGCTGAAACAACTCAACAGCCCTGTGTAAAAAGAGCCGTGGCTCAGGGAGCTGAGAGGTCGGCTAATTCTTGATATTGAAACATCATAAACATGTTACTTCAAATATATGAACTAGAGATATACACGTGCATGATAGATTTGAAAGCTGAAAAGCCTTAAAGACCTAGTCCAGCACTTTTAAAGGCAGGAAAATGCCAGATTCCGCCGTCGAGGGCCCAGCCAGGCCAACGAAATGGGTGGCAAGGGAGCCAGGGGTCCACCCCGTCACGCTCCGTGCGCCAGACACTTAATCAGCAGAAAAAACTTTCAACTAAGAGCAAAAAAGGTTAAAGTGACATCTTCTTGACAGCAGGTTAAGTAGTGAGTCAACAGCAGTGTTCATTTGGAAAATATTTACATTGTTCGTTAACTTCAAAATGAAGTAAGAGAAGCCTCGAGTACTAGTTAAATATTTACGGCCTTATTGACTCGGTGTGTTTTGCAATGATTTTTTTTTTATTGATTACGTGAGGGCTACCCCTGAGTGCCAAAAGTTAGATAACTTCTGTTACTTATCTTGGCAGAAATTTAATTCTGACTTTTTTGTTGTTGTTGAACTATAGTAAAAAGAACAATATAAGTAATTAATTAAAAATAACTCAAAGTTTTCTCCTAAAATCTTTTTTTTTAAGATTTCATTTTTTTGGTTTTAGAGAGAGGGGAAGGGAGGGAGAAAGAGAGAGAAACATCGATGTGTGGTTGCCTCTCACAGGCTCCCTACTGGAGACCCAGGCCCACAACCCAGGCATGTGCCCTGACCGGGAATCGAACCGAGATACCTTGGTTCACAGGCCAGCACTCAATCCACTGAGCCCCACCAGCCAAGGCTCATGTAAAATTACCATGGTAAATAAATTGGTTTTAATTTTTTTTTTAATTTCAAAGTTAAAGGCTATTTAATACATGGACTGTGGTATCATAAAGTATTTCATCTGTGTTGAAGACACCAAGTTGATTTTGGCCAGAATTTTGCCGTGAGTGGCTCGCCGTTTCTGGAAAGCCTGGACAACAACGCCAGTCCTGGTATTCTAGTCGCCAGCGCGCCCTGCGTTTGTGACTGTCACGTCCTTGTCAGAGGTGTATGTCCTCTCTCTTTTTTGCCACAGATTCTCCCCCAGAGGGATTTTAATTAAAAATGAATTAAATCACCCTGGCTGGGGTGGCTCCGTGGATAGAGCACTGGCCCGGGCACCTGCCTGGGTTGCCAGGCAACCAGTCAATACTTCTCTCCCTCTCATTCTCCCTCCCCTCCTCTCTCTCTAAAAACAAATAAATAAAATATTTTTTAAAAATGAATTATATCCCTAAATTAGGGCTGACAAATGATACTTCCCTGCCACCTCCAGTTTGATGTATCGAATTGATTCAGCTAATTCACT